CTCAATAAAATCGTGCTCAAAAAAACTAAAACCTCTATGAAATAAACTCCAACCTTTCAGGAATGTTTAAACAATCATGAGATTTCAGTCATTCCTTTATTTTAAAACAAGTATCAGGCTTTCACATCTGCCCCACGACCGTTGGTATTTTACTAACACTAGCCACCAATGAAGCAGATACAGTTCCAATCAAATTGCCAATATTATGCAGCAAAAATTCAACCCGGATTTAAATATTCCGGATTTGAAAATCCGACCTGTTGTTTGGGAGTCTCACGACCTCGCATCAGCGCCACGGTCGCTTGAAAAATAACTAGTGGCCCAGTTAATGCTGGATCTAGCCATTCTAATATTTTTAACCATACATTGTACTGATACTGTTTCAAAATTTCAAAAAATGGACTTTACGCTAAACCTTAGTGTTTCTCTGTTTAAGTAGAAGATTAAAAACTTTGAAAAAAAGTGAAAAAGATTCCAAAAACGATCAAAAATTCAAAAGTTTGAACTTTCTTAAATTCATCGCATTTTCTCTACGAAAACTGTTTTTTAGATTGAAGATTTCCGCACCCTGATGTTTTATATTGAACCTTTACTATCAGACATAGCTTGTAGTTTTCGGGAACGCTGGCAAAACTTCTAAATAAAAAACGGTAAAAAAATATCAAATATCAACTTTTTTTCAAAAAAAAGCAGGTACAACAGCTTACATAGGAAAAATCTAAGCACCATGTTAGTTTAAATGAACTGTCAACCTCAGAATCAGCATGTTAAATTTTTTTTTAAATAACTTTCCAAAAAACGGGAAAACTGGACATTTTCTAGGACCATATTTTTTTCAAAACGAAGAACAGAGCCACTTGCGCAGCTAAGATTTGCCTTAACTTAATCTTTTGATTAAAACCGTCATATCAAATTTGTGCTTTTCATATTTGAGAAAACTTAATTGTATCAGTAATCAAAACGATTATAGTTTAAAGGCCAACTACAGATATAAACTAGTTAAAACTTGAATGAATGTTTTTAATGACTATGACATTCCCTCTTGTGAAATGAAATTTGAACGAATAATATGAAATGAAAATTGTAGAATAAAAACTCTTCTCAAATGACATGTTTTTGGCAATTACAGTAAGCACCAATGGTAATAGAATTAACTAAACTTTGTGATTTTTCGACCGATAAAAATTGGCCCTCTCCCTGGCCCATGATAGTTCTGAAGTTTTAAAATGGAACTGTGTTATTTACTCGTCTTTTTCTTCTTCAATTTATTTTTCCTCGCAGCCCTTCGATACGTAGTCAATCATGACCGCGCCCATCTTGTTCACCGCCGTCCGTTTTCGCCCACTCCGTCGTGATGCCCTTTTTTTCGGTTGGGCTACTACCGGTGCTGATTCAGATTGCGCCTGTGGTTCAATCGGTTCATCAAACACTTCATTATTTCTTTTAGGCTCCTTGCCCAACTAGGAGCAGATATCGCCCGCTTTCACAGTTTCGGTAATTTTCATTCGCTCCGTATTTTCGCTCGTCTTCGCTCGCCCCGTTTCGCCTTCCTTAAAACCGGTTTTACTTCCCGACCGTGGTGCGCCTCGAATGGCGTGATTTTGAGCGTAGCGGTTGTCGAGAAACGTCAGACGCCGAGAGCCCTTTGGAGCATCTTCTCCATGAGCTCTGGTTTTTCTTCGCGTGCGTATGTTAGGATTGAGTTTTTTAACATCCTATTATTCGCTCAACGCGTACCGTGGCGCGATGATCATTCACTGGCGACTGTACTAGTTATATACCTTTTCAGTTGTAGAATGCTTTTAACTCCGACATCAAATTAGTGCCTTAATCGACATGAATTTTCCTAGGGAACCCATGATTCTTTTTGTAACTCTTAAAGAATTTAAGAACTTTGCCTGCCTGGTTTGTATTAAAGACCATTGCTGATGGCCATCGTGAGAACCTTTCTACGGCTACAATCACGTACTTCTTTGATATATTAAGATAGTTTTTTGGGTCCCCAAAAGTCTAGTTGAGAAGCCTCATTAGGCTCCTTCGGTTCTGGAACTCTTCCTGTCTTCCTTGGTGCATATAGTTTTAAGGCTCTTACCCGCAAGCATGCATTCTCTACAGTTCTCGGCCGTTGACGCAATGTTCCTATGAACCAGATATCCCTGGCCGCCGTGAATCTTCGACTTCCCGTGGTACTACTAGAGGAGCTTGTGCTTTATTGTTGACCGCCTTGTGCAACGTATTCGGGATGACCAGTTAATCGTCCATCCAAAGGCAATTTTCACGAACGTGGAAGTCATTTATTAATTGGGAGTAATACTTGTTCATAGCGCTAATTTTGGAGGCCAGGTCGGAGTCCTTGGTTTAGACCACTTCATAGATTGCTTGAATTTGAGGGCCGGAAGCCTACTGTGATTCCATGAATCGAAGGTTAAATACTTCGGGAAGCGCTGCGTTTTTGGGGACTATTTTACAGTTTCGAGGGACGATGGACATAATTTTTGAGGGGTCTAGTGGGGTAAAGAATTCTCCTTTAAATGCTGAAGGAAATGAAAGTCTGTGTTTGTGTTCTTAATCTACGTGGTAATTGCATTAATTTGGGCTTATTCTAGTTCTTTTACCTCCTCTCGTCGCTACTTTCAATACTAGTGTGTCTTTCATAAAACTTTTCCAATTTTCTAAAAAATTTCTCCAACTCTCCCGTGTAATTTAACTTATTTTCAATTCCTGCGTAACTATCTTTAGAATTACTAAATGCCCCAACTAAATTAGAGAATTCGTCGCGTGGCTTTCGATTCATGCAAATTCTTACCTTGCGATTGGCTGGTTTGGTACTGCATGATAATTCGTCCTCTACCCGCCGTTCTGGATTTCGAAACCGTCATCGTTCCATGTAAGTTGAGTGGGTTATTCCCATGGCCGCAGAATTCTTGATCCTATGGTGTTTGTTCGGATTAAATTACCCCTGCGGAGCCTAGCGTTTTTCGGAGCTCCCCGATCGTGAAGATTGATATCAGCCACCCGCTGTCAATCCATAAGCCCGTTTTTCGTTTCGTCTGTAGATCTGGACAGGCAGCTTTGTACCGGCCAATTTTAGTTCTTTGTTCCTCCTCGAGCGCATTGTCATAACGAAATAGTCCCACGAACTATCCGAGTCCCACGAACGGTTTCTCTCCGCTGGTGTGTTCACCCTCCACACCGAACTCTCGTGCTGTGATGTCCCGTCTTCCGGTTCACTGTCCTCGGATCATACCTAACGATGATCTTCCTCGGCAAGTTTTTCTTTGCGCGGCAAGTCCTTACAAAATGTCCCACTCCTTTACGAAAATTGCATGGAACTCACTTGGCTGCATATTCGTTCATGTGTTTCCCGGTAAATTCCGGTTTGTCGCAGTTATAGCATCTGTGAGCCACTTAAGTAGCTCCCCCTCGGAATTGTCCTCTCTCTCTTGGAATGAGCCGCGTCCTCGCCCTCGGTTGTTTCCGTCTCTGCCTCTTAACGTCCCCAACTGTTCCGTCTTAATTTGAAGTCTCTCCGCGCCGGTCCGCCGCCAGATGCTACCCCAGCTGTTGAAACATACGTCTTTGCGTATTTGTCTCCCCCCCCATTCATATGACAGCGCTTCGGTGTTTTCGTTATCTACACTGCTCGTTTTCGGCTTCGCGGTTCGTCTTGTTAACGATAATCACGTCTCTCAATATCAGTTTCTCCAGCGTTCCGAAGTTGCACCTTGCCGCAAGACCGCTAAGTACTGAGTGAAATTGCTCCAGTGTTTCGCCGATTCGTCGTTTTCGCGATAGTAATTGAAACACCACGTAGGTCTCGTTTCGCTCCCTTTTCAATTCTTCTATCGCGTCGAGTATCCCTGGATAACGGGTGGCTGCAGATCTAAGTGCAGTCTCTTTTTGTGCAATTCGTCTTGTCCTTTTTCCCCAGGACAATTAGAGATTCGAGATAAGTGTTTGTTCCGACTCCATTTTATTCTTTCCATCCCCGTCCGCCGCTAGAGCTCCTACTTGCGCCTATAGGTGTCTGCGAATTAAGGATTCCCTGGATTAACGGCGTGTTTTGCAATCATTCCACACTCGAGACTGTTTATCCAAAATTCCCACAACATCGGTGGTTCAGCGTGTTTCGGTGGCCAAAAAGACGTGATACCCAGTGGTATTATATGGACGTCGAATTAAATACCAAAATTCGCAACTTAAGTGTATCAATGATCAAAATGACAATGGTTTACAGGTCAGACACTCCGAAGGCTGGTCCGTGTTAACGATGGCTAGCATCGAAGGAGAACAATGATTGACAGGAATGATAGACAGATACGAACTAGTTTAAACTTAAATGACTAATTTTAATGACTATGACAAGGCCCAAAATCCGCCTACTGAAATTTCGAAAGCCGTAGAACGTGAGGTAAACTGAAAAGAGACTAGCGAAATATACCAGCACATAGAAGAGCAACCGGTTTTTCCAATTGAACCATTTTTTTGAAAATTGGTACAGTATTTTTAGAGAAAAATAGAAACTTCTGAGAAAAGTGCAAACATTGTCCAAAGCGTCGCAAGAAAAAACGAAAAACAACAAATCCCATACATTTTTCATAATATATTATTTTTTTCGAACATGACCTAACACTAGTCAAAAATAAAACAGTAATACATGCCATTAAATTGTTTATGCTTAAACATGATTAAATTGAATAATACCAAAAGCGCCACCAATGTGCACTTTTATTTGCGACTAAGGTTACAAAAAAAAGATACATGATTGCACATTCACCAGTAAAAAATTTATTTCAGGTTTTCTTTGATTATTGTCTGCCTGTTAAACAGCTCATGGGTTGAATGATTTGAAATTTTGTTTTAAAAATTTGATCGGTCCCTGGAAAAGACATCATCTGTCTTCTGGAACAACGCATCGACTCCTATTGCAAATATGCTTAAGTCTCTATACTTGACACTACATGTGTGATGGGTCAATTGAAAGTCTAAAAGAAAACACGTGTGAGAAAATCTCGAGTTGTTACAAAATGAGTGTCAAAATTGGAGTAAACCAAACATACATCTACTACACAGACAGATCAGATCTGTTGACTAAAAAGACAGACCATCTTCTTTATCCACATATAAAACTGTCTCTGATTTGTTAATAAAATATTTATTAGTTTGCAACATCTGAAAACTCTCTCAGACGAAAGAAAAGATAAAAAGAGAACGAGCCGCCACGTATGTTTCCAATCTGATAGGTAGGTTCCCTCTTGTGTCATTTTTCCTTTATCAATCGCATTTCGAATAATTGTACATTAAGGATGCCTAGAATGGGGAGACTGTGGGTGGGTCTAGGTGACAGGGGAGTATTGTGTTGTGTTGTTCAGAACTTTCGTCCGAATTTGGACCCAGTGGATGTCTTGGGCTGTGGTGCAGGGGCAGCCTCCTTTTTACTGGCGCCCACTCCCACCCCTCCTGCAGTTGTGGTCGATGCCCCTCCCCCTGCTCCTGAGACACTCCTCGCGGGGGGACCCAGACTCTCGTGTCTCATCTGGGGCACCTCCGCCTGCTGGGCCTGAAACACACTACAGTTACTACAAAACTGTTCTTCCCCAAGTCACACAACAAAACTTCAGCTGAAATAATCTCAGTTTAACTTGCTGGTAGAGAAAGGAGAGGGATGTCGTGTAATGAACCACTTGGTTCCTAACTACTACTTCCACTACTCTGCGATAAAACCCAATTGTATCACTCCGAAGTGTCTCGTTCTAATTACGAGATGTGACCTTGGGAACATGAAGGGGGCGTGGAAATAGACATGCGGCAGTTCAGGGATGAACAGTCTTCAAGGATAAATTATATGTATGAGCTACTGAATGTGCGTGGAGTAGATTTGTGTGGAAACGAGTGACTGACCTGTGAGGTGTGCTGTGTCTCCCAGCCCCTCTTCTGGAAGCCACATGGCTGGCAGTAGATCTCCAGTTCATCCCCATAACCCTCTGCCACAAAGTTCACCCCTACCAGACTGCTGCCACACTGTCTGCAGTTGAAGCACTGACAGTGCCACTGACTCTTCTCAAAGATGATGTACCTGTTCCCCCCAATCCCTATCAACACATACACACATCACAACGCTCATTCTAACCTACACAAAAGCAAATACTGACAGTCAAAAAAAAAGAAACTGGTTGCAAAAAAGCGGCGAACTGTGTGTGAACAAACCGCTGGGATGGCAGCCACCGACTCATAGGTCCACATTTATACTGATAAAAACCAGGCAGCAACGAATACGCATTAACTAAGCGGATATAGTTTAAGCTGCTTAAAAAACGCAGAGTGAGCTTATCACAACAATTTTGCAGTGAAAAGTGTGATTTCAGTTGAAAAATGTGGTACACCTAATACAACACAAGCCTTAATTGTTCAAAGAGGAAAAACAATCAATTTCCTAAAAGAAAAGCAAGACGCTTCAATCTGCTAGTTTCAACCCAGGACTATCATAATGCTTTAAATCGGGTAGGAAAGATATATACAGTGATGTGATTGTGTGGGCTACTTTACCTGTGATAGGCTCTGAGCAATGGAAGCACTTGTGTGCGTAGTGATTGGCGAAGCACTCTGCACAGATGGGGTTCTCGTCCTTGAGAGTGAACCTCTGTCCCGCTAGACTGACTCCACACTCGAAGCAGACGAAACACTCCCTGTGATAGGGCTCCAGTCTATACGTCACACCTCCAGCCTTGATCGGCTAAACAATCCACAACACAATCACACAATCAACTTGTACACTGACCCAGTTACTTTGAAGTACACAGTCAGTAAATTAGAAAACACAGTAATGACCCCCACTTCCGTAGACATTAACAACGTTAGCAACAGACAATACTTAAGTAGCGTGTTTAGGGAGTTCGAACCCATGGCCACCCTAAGGGTCCCCCTTTGGTACTATTTCACGGCATTCATTTTTGACTGACCGGCCCAAGAAAAAATCGTAAAGCCTTCGCGCCAATATATTTTTATCTCTGAACGGAAAACACGCGCAAAAAAAATTTCGTCAAAATCTTGCAAAAATTGCATAAAAATTTCACTTTCGACACGTTCTTTTGACAAAAAAGTAACAAAATGGGGTTTTTATAGTTTTTAGTTGCAGATAAAAACCACCCCAAATAAAATCCTAGATCCGCGCCTGCAATAATTGACAACCAAGTAAGGAGACAGATGCAAGATATCATTTCCTACCATCATATCCTTTCCGACCATGATATCGATTCCGACAATGATATCATTTCCGACCATATCAATTCCGACCATGCTAGCATTTTCGACCATGATATCAAATACGACCATGATATCATTTCCGATCATGATATCACTTCCGGCCATGATATCAATTCCGACCATGATAACATTTCCGACCATGATATCCTTTCCGACCATGATATCAATTCCGACCGCTCAGTAAAAAAAAAGTAGTTTTTTGTTTCAAATAAAAGTCGTTTTTAGTACGTATAGAGATGAAAGAACTAATCCAACGCGTAGATAGCTAGTGAAGTGGGCATAATCAACATAAGCTGTCTTCGAAAAATAACAAACAAAAAATTTTGGCAGAATTTAAATATATTTTGTTTTGTCAAAGAAGCGCTAGATGAAGCAACTTCAAAAATTAGTTTTCCTGGAGTAAAAATTAAGCTTTTCACTACTAGCAGGAAGAATTTTCGTTCATAAGACCTAATCACTCGCTTTACTCCCTCGAAATTAGACTAAAACTCGAAAATTTTCTCGAAACTGGGACAACTCTTCGAAAAAATTTTTATGTCCTTTAAATAGCGACTGGAAGGGCTTTAATATGATATATCACTCAACCTATTCCGATAATTTTTTGTGGTGCCTGATTTTGATGGGAAATTTGAAAACAAGCAACCAAATGCAATGTTCCTCTCCATTTTCAATGAAGTGGCAGACCGAATTGAAGTAATCTCATCCAAAACCAGGATAGCCGGTTACTGTGCAAGTAGGACAGAATGTTCTGACCACAGTCGTCGAAAAATGCGAAAACATTTTTTTTCCAACTTGGTGTAGTTTTTTCCGCATGGTGTGATAAAAAATATCTGAATGAAAAGAGAAATGAACGCAAGAAAACTAAAAAAAAAAAAAAAATCCAGAAACTTTTGAATTTCGAACAAAAAATTAAATGGCCTTAAAGCTCTTTGAATTTAAAGCACTTTTTATTTAAAATTGACCCAAATTGAGAAAACTGGATCAATAGGTAAAACTTTTATTTCGGTGGGAAATCTGATTATTAATTTCCATTTTCGAAATTAGAAGTCGATCGCAATTTTTGTGACCTTTACAATTTTGCTGTTTGATAGTGGAGTTTGCTTTTCTTTTAACAATAGAAATGCACTGAACTTAAAAAGAAATCATAAGTCAAACCGCGAAAAATCAAAACTGACTGAGCGTGAACAAATTCTAAGACTTTTTCCAGAAAAAAAAAATCAGCAAGACCTATATAAGAGTATTCACTACGTTCAATACTCTTAAAAAGAACATGGGCATATTTGACAGTCATAGTAAAAAGACCATTTGGAAAACAGATTTTGAAGAAAATTGACTAGAAAAACAAAATAAAATTGAAAGAAATTAAAAAAAAATTTCAAACCGGTTTTTAGCGACACTGAAAAAATTGATGATTTTTTAATGTCGTTCGAATCACAATTGAAAGGGCTTTAATATGATATAACACTCGACCCATTCCGATAATTATTTGTGGAACCTGATTTTGCGTGCAAAACCAAAAAACTAAAACACCCGAATACAAAGTTCCTCCCCATTTTTCAAATGGTCGGAACAAATGTGTTCTGAGCTTGAAGGTACCAAAAGGGGTACAAAGGGGACTAGTACACCAAAGGGGGCCAATTTAGTCACCCTGAACTTATGTGTATTTCAGAATTAGATATCAGAATGTGTGTTCTTCTGTGAGAAAGTGATCATCAAACTGTGTTCCAGTGTAGTGTGTTGCGTACCTCCGTGCACTTGGTGCATTTGATGGCAAACAGCTGTTCCCAGCAGCCCTCACAGTAAGGCTGTCCGTCCTGGGGGTGGAACGCCTCCTGTCCGATCACCTTGTCACAGTTAGTGCATGCAAAACAGTCCTTGTGCCATTCGCCGCCGTTCCAGCTGAGCTTCATGGACCCTACACAAAACATACTCTGTAACTATATGTTCGACCACTTCTTACACTTAACACGGCTACTTAAGCCAGATACCAACTGCAGTCACGGCACAAACATGTTATACATTCGTTTACCGTCAATCAAATTTATGAACACTTAACACGTTTCGCTCCAGTTTTGATGTCCAATATATTTTTTCGATACTGGGCTAAGTTTTTGACACATTGGTTAAAGAAAAAAATCAAAATGATGTAGCGCGGTCATGAACAGAGGAAATGGTGTTTAAACATTGTCATTAATAAGCCATTCAATCAGTTCTCGTTAGAGCGGTGATTTTTGAATTATCAGATTTAATCAAGGCTACCCCCTAATATAATTTTGCCCTCGCATGCTAAGTGTTTTCGCCCTGCGTTGTGGTTGGTGATGCGGTGGACACACCGAATATGGCACGCTTCGCTCCTCGCACATTAAACAACTCTTCAATTTAGTGGTACACTCATGACAATGACATCTAGAATAGTTGTACCTGCTTTGAAGGGGTTATTGCACTTGGAGCACTTGGGGGCGAAGTTGAGGTCCCAGCAGTCACCGCAGAACAGCTTGTCCTCCTTGGCCCCGAATGTCTCACTAACCAGACTCACTTTACACTGGGAACACTTGAAACACATGTCGTGCCAGTGCTTCTCCTTGAAAGCCAGATCCTAAACGCACCACTCACACTCAAAATTTAACTCTTACATGCGTATTTTTGCATATAATTTTTTTTATCTCGACTTTTATCTTAAAGTTAACTTATCTATACAAGATTACCCGTGTAAGAGTAAACGTTTAAGTTAACTTTAAGATTAGAGTCCAGATAAAAAATATATGAAAAAAATCCTGTTGAGACAGCGCCGAGACAGGATTTTACCGCATGTTACCTAGACTTCAAACATGACTTAGATCTCGTGACAATAGCTGTTTTTTTCTTCAAAAATTCGCCTGCGGTGCAAAAAAATGACCCAAAAAGGGTCTTTTTTTTGTGATTTGGGAAGGAACATCGAGAAAACCCTAGATCCGCCCCTGTAATGAAAGTAGCGCAGAGGATTAGCAACCAACCACGAAAGAAAATACTGAAGATCGAAACTTCCTCGCAATTATTTTTGTTTGCTCCACAACAAAACAATGACAAGTTTATTTCATTATATTCTAGATTTGAACAACTTGACACTCGACTATCTGAGCTGGTGATTTAGTGGTAAGCTCTTCGGCTGTCTGCCTGAGATTGAGATCAAATCCCGAGCAAAACACAAAACCAAGCAAATTTAGCGCATTTACCACACATTTAAGCGTTCGCTAGTTTCTCATAGAATGAGCTACCAAACTCAAAATTCATGGCCAGGGGTCTAATTAAACTGAAACTGCTCATTTAGACGTCGGAAATATAACGCTAATTAACCTAAACAGCACCTTTTTTTTACCGATTAAACTTTTGGTTGTGAAATATGCGGTGCTAATTTAAATAATCGGACACAATTATCAAAATAGGAAACTTCAACGCATACTTCTCAAATGGGGTTGAAATTGACAAAAAAAACCGATGAGAGAAAAACTTCGCCAGAATTATATATGGTGCTCAGGCCCAAAATTTCAAAATGATTTCGGGCCCAAATTTTTTTAAAATCAAAATGAGCCTAATAGAGAAAAATTAGCTTAAAAAGTTCGCAAAAGGTTTTACATAAAGATATTGGTATTTAACGAATCTATTTGTTATTTTTATTCACAAAATAGGCCAAAAATGATGATATTATTGCCTAATAATTATTATAGTGAACTCTTAGCCATTTTGTTCTCATCGCATTTCGTCTAATGACAACCCAAATTCAGAAAAAAAAATCGTTTAAAACTTCTAGTTATTTTTTGTTTTGTCCGTGTCATTTAATCAGCAGTTTTTGCATGCGAACTTGTTTCAGGCAACCTTAATTAAAATATCAACTGTCTGCATAACTAGCTTTTGCCATCAAAATTTTCGAGAAGTTTTTTTTGCTTTTTGCAATCAATTTTCTAAGGCTTATCAATTCTCTATTTGGTCGTAGTCATACGGTAGCCGGTCAATGATCAGAATTGTCTAAGAGCAGAAAGGGTCTAAGAGCAAAAAAAAACATGCAAATATTAATTTACACGAGCTAATCGATAAAAAACAATAGAACCGTCAATACTACCAAGGAAATGAATAAACTCTACACTGATTAAGTAATTTCATCGGGATTTTTATTGAAACTGTTTAAAATAATATAATCAAATTACTCAACTTATTCTTAATCTTTTGATTTCTTTGGTAACAATATTGACAATTTTAAAACTTGCTTTACCGATTAGCTTATAAAATTTCACATTTTTCTGATCTTAGACCTCTGCTCTTAGATCATTCTGGTTATTGCTCCGCCTCCTTGTCATAAAATCATATCCCTCACATGACCGTATGACACACAAAAATGAATTCAATTAATAAAGCGGAGAAAACATGCTATTAAACTGCTAATATTATGCACTAGAAATGCCACCAGAATGAACATTATTCTATGCGGGTTAGATTAGAAACATGGTCTCGAAATATAACACGCTCGCAAAAACTGGATAAATGGGTACTTTTTGTTCCACTGGAAACTCAAAATTCAGAATTCATTAGCAAAATGTAACTCATTCACCTTATATTCGACGGCCGAAATTTCTTTTATTTTAGCAAAAGACTGATTATTCTGTTCATAGCTTAAATTGATTCGTAAAACTTTTAAGTCTTTTAAGCAAACTTTTGAGCTCTAAAATTTTGCCTGTTACACAAGTTGATTTAAATTCATTCGTGATAAAAAACAGGTGCCAATTTTGCAGCAAATTTCCCTCTTGCTTAAGAAGATATGATGGGACAGAAAGAAAACACAGCCAACAGTCAGCTGGAAAAGGGTCAATGAAAGCAAGGAAACAAAAAATACAGACATTTTAATTTAAAAAATGTCAACTTCGGAATTTCGGGAAAAAATGATGACTTCAAAGCTCATTGAATTTCAAAAATAATTTAAGATTGACATTTTTTGATAAATTAACTCATTTTCAGAAGAGAACTGGATTACCAGCTAAAGGTTTTATTCCAGTGGGAAACCTGAAAACTAAGTTCCATTTTGAAACTAAGAGTCGATCACGTTTTTTGTGACCTTGACACTTTTGTTGAACGCGTGGAGTTTGTCTTGCTTTTAACAAAAAAAAAGAACTGAACTTGAAAAGAAACCAAATTCAAACCTCGAAAAATCAATTCGAGCATGAAAAAATTTAAAGTCTTTTCGTGAAACAAAAAACGAAAAAACCATCACCACCTATAAAAGAGTCTACACTTGAAGGTGAATTTTACAACAAAAAAAATCTATAATGTTCCAGACTCAAAATATTCTTGTCTAGCTTAACTGACAGCAATTTCTTAAACGTTGTACTCGAAAATCCCATCTTAACCATTGCCCCTTATGACAGCTAAAACATGGCATAAATTATTTCTGTCATTTGTTTAATATATGAAAAAATAGCAACATTTGGGGAGCGTTTACGTGCTTTTTTTGACACATGTGCTCACTGAGGTACTCACCTACTCGTGATTTTAAGACTGATGATGGCAACTTGCCGAAAACGCGCTGTAATTGAATACTAACATTGATACTTGGTTTTTATTAATTAGTTACCTTGTTGTCGACAGAGATGATCTGCTGGCACTCCTCACAGTGGTTGGCGAACAGCTCATTGTAGCAATTCACACAATAAGGGTGTCCCTCTCTGTTGACGAACCGGTGTCCATACAACGAAGTGTCACAGTGCCAACACGCAAACTCCTGTGCCCCTCCGCCACCCCCTGCCCCCGACTGCTGCTGCTGTCTGCCGCCCCCAGACTTATTTGCATCACTCTGGAACAAACCAACTTAACAGATGGGAGCGAGTCATGGTGAAATCAAATTCACTCAACCGAACCACACCTCCTGAGTAACTAGAGGAAATACGTACAATACATTTGAACTCAAGTTTCTTGATAAATGCGACAAAATTATGCCTCTAGCTTTGAATATTTCCAATTTGATACCAATACGAAAAGTTGGAAAGGGGAGCGGCGGTGAAGTGGCTACGTTTCCGCCTCTCAAGCGAAATGTCGGATGTTCGAGGCGCACGTTGATCCGTGCTCCTTCCTTGAGGGTGAGACATTTCCCGGCCCAGAAAAATAACCAAAAAAATCCATGTAGTTCTTGATGAATGTGATGAGCTGAACAGCTCGTATGTTGGTCTTTCCCTCACGGATAAATGGTCTTAAAATTGGGGTTTCAAAAAAACCTACACAAAGGACTAAAAGTCTAACAATCGAAAAAAAAAAACGCATTCTTAGCCTGAGTAGATCGAGCGAAATTAAAAGTTTGTTAGGCTATAGAAAAATTTCAATGTGTGCAAATCTATCTCAATTAGTCCATCTAATCCAGCAGTGGTTATTAAATCAAATATATCTCTAGCAGTATGAGAAAAATACGAACCTCGACTAAAGCCATTTTTCGGGGGTTTCAAAGGGAAAAATGAACGATAAAGATATGACCCTAGTAATTTGTGGCAAAGCGAATAGTTCGATATAATTCTTGTTTTATAAACTAACAATGAAAAAGCAGGAACGAGATTTCAAACACAATTTGAACAGAGCAAAGAATTTAAATTTACAATGAAAAATGTAGAAACGAAATTTCAAACACACAATTTCAACAGAGCAAAGAATTGAGGCGGCCCAACTGTACTTAACTCAGTTTCATATTTCGCCAGTAAAATTGGTTTGTTTTCGAATCCGCTAGCGAAAAAGTGGTGGCCAAATAACTAATGAAATACGCCTTGATCACACAGTGCAATTGTTTTTGCACACACTAGAAACCCTTGCAAGTCACTCAAACTATGCTACTGCGCAACAAACCTCGCCAAGGAAATAAGCCCAGTAATTCCGCCGGACTATCAGGTAACTGCTGCACCTATTCTAGTTCCGCGACAACATGAACCTCCGCTTCTACCATATAACATAATGACCCCTTCGACCCCTGTTATCAGTTCCAACGCCAGCCAGCTGTTGTAATTGGGCCAACTCAGTCAGCGACGGTAAGGACCTCCAAACAAATTGTTTGGCAAAACTCATTAATAATCATTTCCTTGGTTTCCAATGCCCCCAAGTTTACATGAAGTGCATACACTAAGGGTTAAACTTCGCGCAATGAAATCCAAACTGTTAGGTTACTAGAACTGCCAGTACCGTGTACCCAAAACAGCGAATGGCATGTCAAGATCATTTCCATTAAAGCACTTTAATAGCAGAATTTTGTGGCCGGGTAATCAGACAGAGCCAACAATCCGGTCTTAAACTTACAGAGCTCGGAAAGCTTTGCGATCACCTTGCATTCCATAAAAAAACCAATTTCGAAACCTCAATATTCGATAAACGCTGATTGTAATTGCACTGAATGCACTCAACAGTAGCTTTAGGTGAATAAAAAATAACCATTTACAAATTTGAACTAATAAAAAAATTATTAAGACAATGCAAATTTGTGCTTACACATTTGAGTATACAATCTACAAATATTAACAAAAAACTATAGCAAGTTTTAGAACAAAGACTATTCACTGAAATCTCAAAGAATAAGGGCACAAAACGAAAGTTTGACACCACTAACCGAAACAAAATGGCTGCGAGCCTTTAGTGAACGAAACATAGCCACTGGCAGTTGGAAAAATGTAAGACAAAAAAATGATTGACAAAGTTTTTCAACTATTCGGAGAAAAAAATTACCACTGGTTAGCTTCTTGAAATTCAAGAACTACTTTAGATTGCCATTTTCTTCAGAGAAAACTGGATCAGTAGGTAACTTTCTATATTCCGCTGTGAATTTTGACAATTGAAAACCAATTTCGTAAGTAGAGGTTATTCACATTTTTTGTGACCGCTTCTTTGTTGTTCAGTAGTTAACCATCATATACCAAAAAAAACGACATATAAAAGTGAACTCAAGAAGGAAAAAGTGAACTTAAAAAGAAATAACAAGTCAACCCTTAAAAACAAACTTCAGCGAGAAGATTGAAAAAGTTTTCAACTTTTAAATTTCGGTGAAAAAAAAATTACCACATGGTAGCTTCTTGAAATTCAAGAACTACTTTAGATTGCCATTTTCTTCAGAGAAAATTGGATCAGTAGGTAACTTTCTATATTCCGCTGTGAATTTTACAATTGAAAACCATTTTCGTCAGTAGAGGTTATTCACATTTTTTGTGACCGCTTCTTTGTTGTTCAGTAGTTAGCCTTCATATACCAAAAAAAACGACATATAAAAAGTGAACTTAAGAAGGAAAAAGTGAACTTAAAAAGAAATAACAAGTCAACCCTTAAAAACAAACTTCAGCGAGAACAAATTTTGAATTTTTCCCGAAAAGTAACCAAACAAAAAATCAAGATCTATTCAAGTGAAAACCACTTCGTTCTTCTACCCTTAAAGAGCAGGGAAAACAACATAACTTTTATAAGTGTCTGGACTAGGCTCATTGACTTATAATTAGTTTAAATCGTAGTTTCATATTGATTATAACTGAAGGTTACAATTTTTTCTTCCGGGACTAATATGTCAGTCATTTGAAATTTGTTGGCCATAATTAACTTTATTTTTAGTAGAGTTCCCGGCTCCTGATTTATTCAGGCACTAAATTTTTTGCAAATGCTTTTGCCTCTGGGAATTCTTTCGCGCAGGTTAATTTATGACGTGCTCATTGATACTTGTGGCTAAGTATTGCACTTTCTGGCCCAAATAGGTGCAGTTACATCCATATACGATCCTATACGTGAGCTCATATACCACTTTGGATGTCAGTTCACGTGCAAAGGATGAGAGGAATGGAAAGTATGTTTTCAATTCTCTGGTAGTGCTCCGGATACTTGGCATACTTTCGCAGCTGGTAGTTGAGATGGATTGCCAAAATATAGCATTGTCAGATTGGAGGACGAGTCTTTCGACCATTTCTAATTTCTGTTTCATTGGCAGAGCTGCTGAAATTATTTTACTTTAAAATGAACTTGTTGAAAGTTTTAGATACTACCCTGTTTGACCATTGTTCCGGACATTGATTTCCAATACTCAAAAATTTGTCATTGCTCAGAAATTCTCTCTATAGTAAACTAAAATTGGATGCAATTAAATAGCAGCATCGATGACTTTCCACGATTGTCCATTATAATTCTAATATGATATCCACATATTTTAGAAAATCCTTAAACCCTACTCGGACCGCTGTTTTCTGTTGATTCAAGCATGTCTTGCAATGCCAGACTGTTTCAGCAATGTTTCTGTATTCGGATCCGATGTTACCACAACTTAAGTAATACATTCAAGCAGGCTTCGCATTTTTCTCCCTCAGTTTGATATGCCTATTTGTGACATTCGACCAGAATGGCCAAAATGCAATTTATGCAGGATTCGAATTTTGAGCAGTAAGCCTTCCGAGTTGATGATTTCGAAGGATTAGCGACGTTATTGGAACGTTTAGCCAAACGGTGAGGGCTAGAATATTCTAGTATTTTAAATTTTCAAAAATTCGAATGATGACGTCACATTTCTGAGAAATGCTGAAACGGCCATTTTAACAAAAAGCGAGTGAAAAACAGAACAACTTTATCTGCGATTGCGAACAGAACGAAAATCGAGATTGAAGAAAAACGACAACGAACTACAATAGCAGAGAACGTTCCAAGTTGCAACTATTGTGCTGCTACAATAGTTGCAAGGCCGTTGCCAACAACGGTGAAGGGTGAGAACCAGCCTTCCGGATTGGTGTGAAATTGAACTTAAGGAGCTTGATTCACTGGATTCAAGAATCCGGAAGGGTTTCGGGACTGGAACTTTTAGCCTTTTATATAAACTTTTAGCTTCTTGTCATGTCCTGAATTGAATTTAATTAACAACTGGATTCATTTTGATAAGGATGAGAAGCTAGGAGTTGGGGGAAAGGGTTGATCCATCTTCGATGGAGATGATGATTTTTATCTACTGAACAAAAACAATAGTAATATAATAAGTAGTAGCCCTGTTTTTAGGAGTGACCTCGTGGTCTGGGGATACTGAGACCCAGCCATGAGCTCACTATTTTTGCATGTAATTCAGTTAATTTGAGCGTTCTGGTCGAAGCCGGAGAGCAGTAACGTTTTTGTCGACCCGATGTAAGAAAGACCACCGAAAAGTACTGGCTTGGTAGAGACGGTGAAAAACATGCAAAGTTCTGTTTAGACGCTAGCCAGTCGTCTTAAGACTTAGTTTTGTTATCCGTCGATATGTATCTTCCGGGCGAATGTTACATGTATGTTTTTATGGCGCTCCTGGGTGTTATTCTTTTTTAACATCATGACCGGCAGAACCGTTAACGAGCACTCCGCGCCGAGCGGATGCTCACATCAACGCCCTTAATAGGCCTAAACCGCCGGGGCGGAAGGGTAGTTCGGAACGCGGAGGCCTTCCGGATTGCCGTGAATAGTTTTTTAACCTAGTTAAGACCGAAAATTCACGAACCAGGAAGGGTGGGGGGATCGGCCGTCCCCTCATCCCCTGAGTGGTTGGTGACCAAAAACACTTAAAGATATAAGTAAAACCAAACAAAAAGTAGTATAGTACCCAAGAAAAACAAAAAACATAAAAAATAACCGAAAAAACCAAAAACAGTAAAAAAAAAAGTAAAAAATCAGTAGAAATCATCCCCCCAGACAAGATGTGATTCAACCCCCCCGTTTGTTGTTGATAGATATATTGTTGTTACAGGCATTTATATCAGTCAGGATCGTTACGATCAATTTTGAGGCCCGTTTGTGAGGCTTGTACTGTAGGGTTATTTGAGCATTTAAGCACGTTAATGATAAATTGCGCTCAATCCGGAGGGGTCAGCTGATTTGCGCTCAATTCGGAAGGGTCTTGGGTGAAGACCGATCCGGCAAGCAGTACAAGGAGCAACAAGAAGGGTTCAACGACAAAACAATCGACTGTTGGGTATCGTTAACAAGTTTTGTATCCCTTTTGGTACAAAAAGTAAGATAGTAATCTGTGGGGGGCTCGACAGTGCTGCACTGTAGTGACCCTTCACCGAACTGCGAATATCCGAGTTAAGCACCTTAATTCGGATAATAAACAAACCCGGAGCGGTATAGTATTACTAATATTATTACTTATATAGCCTATATTAATAGTCTTATATCGTTTTTCAGTGAAAAACAACGAAAACAGACCGGTTTTTAGGATCAAAATTGCGATATTTTGATCCCCCCGATTTTTGAGATATCGATATTTTTTTGAAACGGAAAAAAGCGCTAAGCTAGTGTGTTACATCGTAACTGCACTACTGTAATAAGTAGAACCGGTTAACTTTAGTTCGGAAGTGGTTGGAACTAGTTTGAAACCAAAAACCGAATTTTCCCATTTTTTGATAGTAAGAAACACTATAAAATCAGAAAATTTTTTGAAATTTTTGAGGTAGGACAGTAAAAATAGTTGTTCGGACAACGTCCACTAGTGAATCTACGAGTTTTAAAACCCGCTACCCGAAAGCCTTCCGGGTTGCAGAGAAATCGAACATAACGTGTTTGATTTGGTGAATTCATCAATCCGGAGGGGTCCAGGTAGCATAGTTTTTTGCAAATTTTTTCTACAAAAGCGTTTTAAATCGGGTCTTTTGCATAGAACTAGAAGAGTATAGGCCTTCTGAGCTCGGATCAATAATTTTTAGGTCGAAAGGACCAGATTTGCGGAAAAAGTTAGGCGGAACCTATAAGAGAAAAATTTTTTGAGTTTGAAAAAAAGACGTTTTGGTTAATAACTTTGGAACTACTGAGCATATCGAGTTGATCTTGGTACCAATAGATCAGAAATTAGCAGAGCTTACTAATAGGATCAGAAATTTTTCGGAAAAACGAGCGT